TACATCAACCGCTCTAAATGAGCTCATGGAGTAATTAAAGGAATGCAAAGGTATTATACTATCATGTCAACTATATTTTATTGTTAAAATGCATTTATTTGACCAATTTGAGAATGTTTTTAGAATAGTTTTGGTTGACTATTTAAAATTTGTTTATAAAAACCGTTAAAAACACGCAACACCTGATCATTCATTCTGAGATTGGGCCGCTTGTGGTCTATGTTTCGTTTTCCATGCAATTCCCAATTCCCAAGAATATGATTTCGACCGGCAATTTTTATTTGACGAGTATGTGGCCATTTCCCATCGTTACGATTTAAAAAGAGTATCATTGAAAAGCTAAATAACTGTTCTTTCGTGCTATGTAAAAATTGAATTGTTTAGCCACGTTTATTAGTGATGCACGACAGCCTGTTGAATTTCCAAAGCGTTTTTTTTGACACCCTGTAGACCGCCCCCTCCCAACAGCCGCCTACTTTATCGAAACAGACACCTACTCAGAATAATTCTGAAATCCCTGAATACTCTGAGCATGGGCATAATACCTTCAATTTTTTGTAAAACAATGGCGGCTCGCTTTGCTGAATTTTAGGAAGATGAGTTGTCTTGATAAGAGAATGGTAAAACAATTATTGAACTCAGTTCTCGCAAATTATTGTGATTTGTCGGTGGGTCATCGCAGATAAATTATTTGCCTCTGCCTTGTTCGGCATCGGCAATCAGTGGCGAAGCCAGCCCGAAAATTTGGTCATGCTATGCAAATTTTAAATCATTATCATTATTCATTTCTTTAGAAATAATTGTTTTCACGGTCTATGAGCACGGAAATATTTGCATAGCATGACCAAATTGTCGGGCTGGCTTCGCTACTGTCGGCAAATAATTGATCTGCTCACCACCGACAAATCACAATATTTTGCACAGGGGGCAGAAAAGTACGATTGTGTTTTATAAATACCTTGTCATCAACCAATATCGCATATTTTATATCACAACAATTCGCAGACAAAGTCAAAGTCATAAAAGGATCAAAATTAGCTGATTTTTATATTTTCGATAATATCATACCTTCTACTTCATGTAATTAAAATATCATTGCATTGCAACGACAATTTCCGAACATCTTACGACAGAAAAGTACGATTGTGTTTTATAAATACCTTGTCATCAACCAATATCGCATATTTATATCACAACAATTCGCAGACAAAGTCATACAAGGATCAAAATTAGCTGATTTTTATATTTTCGATAATATCATGCCTTTTACTTCATGTAATTCAAACATCATTGCATTGCAACGACAATTTCCGAACATCTTACGAAGGGATACCGAGGGTGTAGCCCGTACATAAATAAGAAAGGGATGAAACGCCGAAAATCTTTCGTTCGATGTGCACCGCAACCACTGGTGATGGAAGTTAACTCGACATTGTAACCGGAAGTAGAATGGAAGTTGAAGGAAAATTGACCTTTCATCTTCCATGACCTTTTAATCGAATTAACGGTTTTAATAATTTTAACAATAACAAATTTTAAAAAAATATACTCAAATATGGAACGTTTTGTCACTAAAAGAAATGAGAATCACCCGTTTCAAAATCAACACTAGACTTGCTCCAAGTCTCTCTTTCATATAGTATCGATCCACTATAGTGTACATTACATGACGTAGCACGTACTGTACACTATAGTGGATCGATACTACACGCGTAAAAATCATCATGTTGATGCAAGTTGTTCAAAACAGGAGCGAACAATGTTATGCTGCACCCCGTGAACAATATTGTTAACAAGTTGTTGAACCATCAATGTTGTTGCAACTTGTTGACAATCATGTTAACAACTTGCAACGGTACTGATGGTTGAACAACTTGTTAACAATATTGTTCACGGGGTGCAGCACAACATTGTTCGCTCCTGTTTTGAACAATGCCGAACAACATGATCAATTTTTACCCGTGTATTATATGTTTATGTAAGCGGCCACTGGTCAGCTAGGACGAAGTGTGATCACTGTGATGTACAAATTTGAACAACAGATATTTTATATACTTCTGGTGTAATTTCCGCTCTTTTAATGACATGTACAGGAAATAGAAAATATAATTGACGCAGTAACATGCAACCTTACCTTTGTCCAAAGAAACAGATTCACTCATGGGCCCTCATGAAGTCTTTATTCTCTGAAATGTAAAAAACAGAGTAGACATTTTATGTCGCAGATGGTTTATGCTAGCCTCCTCCGCAGGCCTCTCTATGGGTTCTAGCCTGCGAATGGGTTTTGAAAAAAAAAATTTCTGGGAGAGAGGCCTGCCATAAATCGAACAAAATAGACGTATCTCAAATATTAGTGGCCGTGTTACGTTACCCCACCCCCTAAGTAGGCTTTTGACCCTAATTATATATTCAGTTTGAAATATTCAGGCGAGGAGCGAAGCTTGCGAGTATTAACTTTAAAAATGTTTTAAAATGCATCGAAATATCCAAGTTATACGAAAATTAGTTGGTCAGTTGAAAGGATTATATATCGCAATGTCTCTCGCGGTCTAAAAACGACGTGCAAATTTAATTGAATCGCTCGCTCGAAGCAGCCAAATGTTTTATACAATGTATCAATTGTTCAGCCGAGGAACTACAATTTGAGGAAATTATCTGGCATAATTTCGAACGCAAAACGAAGAATGGAACGATACGAAAGGTATAATTTGTTTAATAAAGGAATTATATTAAATTGTATTGTTTTTGGAATATTATTTTGGCATGTTTATTTATATAAAGGGGTTGACATTTTGATTATATTTTACTAATTTTAGTCAAATCATCAGACATTTGGCAACATGTTAAGTGAATTGATATATAAAAGGAAAAGATGTTTCTGTTGAAGCAACCATTTCAATAAGTGAGGAGAGATAACAACTTGGAAATATCAACTACAGAAATTTGATTACAACAAAAGCCTACAAAAATCAAGATTTTGTTGGCATCTTAGGCCCTGTTCACATGATCCCGGAATAAACAACTGCCCCGCAACAAGTCATTGACCCGGGGTACTGATATTTTCTGTTTACATGAACAAAACTATAGCGCGGGTCATGCCTATAAATAAATTACGCGGGAATCATAAAATATTCCCGTCAACGTGAAACGGTGAAATATTGCTAAATAAAAAACATTCTGATAAACGCAAGTCGTATTTTATGTTATGATATTTACAAATAGAACGTAGTTGATTATCAGTCGTAGTAAAATGTGCTCAATTCATTGTTTCTGGTTGACCAGATCAAATTTTTTGAGTAGCATGCTACACTTCTTGGTTTCAAACATGATATTAGCGACAATTTTATTTTAATATTATTAGAATCATCACTTATAGATTTCTAATGGTATCTTCAATCAAATAACAAGTTTTTGTGGAGTCCAACGTGCTCTAAATGTAATTTTAGCCGCGATTTTGATCGTTTTACAAAAAATGTAATTATCCCAGGACAAAGTTGCCACGGGGCAAAGTGTTCACATGAGGAAAAGTTGTCCCGGCTAGGCGAGTGTCCATTTCTACAGAGGCGAGGCACTCGGGTCAATTCTTGTCCCGGGGCAAGTAAAATATCATGTGAACAGCACTATTCTTTTATTAAGGAGCCGAGACAATTTTTGTCCCGCGACAATTGCTTGCCCCGAGACATAACGCTGTCCCGGGTTCATGTGAACAGGGCCTTAAGCCTGGTTTACATATGCCTGCATTATCATTGTTTACAGCTGTTGATGCATACATTCTTTTGTGAATTATTTAGTTGAACTTTTAACGACAATAGCCCATCAACAAACAGCAGGTATATGTGAACCAGGCTTCACTTGGTTGAATAGTTAACTGGAACTCACCCCCTTAATTAATATCATGTGAATATGCTAAACCATTAAGTTGCATTGTGACACATGTAACAACCTCTTTCTATTATAGTATATGCCTAGTTGTGTTACACGTACTGGCCACATGACATCCATGATTTGATAAATAAAGAAATTGAAGATGTATCTGCATATTCTCTAATTATATGTATCTCCCTTGTTCATGTTTAAATAAAATTGCTCTTGACATATATATTTGTTTTAAATATAATAAATCTAGATTGGCATGAATCATGTAAGAGCCTACAATGCCAGGGGCCCACAACAAGTTTTTGTTGTCTCA